GGGGTTTGAGATCAACCTATGGAATTTCTTTCTAGAATATAACCATATATATTGTATATAATACACTGGTGTTTTGGCGAGGTTTAGAGAGTGGCTAAGAAGGGGGAATAAAGGACTGAGATGAAATAACATAGTTTACTCTTATTATTTCTTTTACAGTTTTCAGATTTCCTATTTTATATAAATGGTCTCCCTAACCCTTAAGCCATATTCTAGTTTTCTAAATAACTTTCTAAAAATTTTAATTGTTTCACTTTTCTTACATTAAAGTATTTCAAAGTTCATCTGAGATTTTAAAAAAATTGGGCAAAATAGAGTTTGAGTTTCTTACATGGTGGTGGGACTAAAAGTAAACCCATCTCCCTTCCATGACACTGGTGTAGGAGTGTATATGTGGTTGAATCCTGGTTGATAGACATAAGAAAAATACAATGGGAGACTTCTGAAAAAAAGTTTTATGTTTCCCAAGGTAGAGTTATAGATCACTTTTCACTTTGGATAATTATGTCTGGAAGTGACTCCTCAGAAATGGCAGCCATCCTGCTATAAAGGTAATTATGAAGCCAACGTTGAGGATGGTAGAGTAGAGATATGGAGATAATCTGTTTTTGGATAACATGATTGAGTCATTAAATTAACCAAATCTGAAGTTCCTTCCTACCTCTGGGCTCCCCATAATATGGCATAAACTTCCTTACTGATAAAGCAGTTTGATTCAGGGTTCCTATTACTTGAAGCCAAAATCATCCTAACTGATATACCATTTTTGCTATAATTAAATTCCTCTATATATTCTGAGATCTAATTCTGGTCTCTAGTGTATTACACTGATGTATTTGTGTATTTCTTTGTACTACCATGTAGTTGCATTTATAATGACTTTAAAATAATGTTTTCTTATTTAGAAAAGCAAGTCTCTCATCCCCTACCACTGTTTTCTTTCACAAAGTTCTGGCCATTCTCAAGTGCTTATTCTTTCATAATAAACTTTTCTTAGAAGTTTCTTTTTAGTATAGAAAAAATTGAATATAAAAAAATTGACATGTATGCTGAATATTATAAGGGCCCTAAGGAACCATTTATAAGCAAAACACTGTTAGGCATTTTAACTGCATCATTTCTTTATCATGTTTTCCTTGACCAATTAATATTTCACATTTTTGACAGAGTTCAACCTTCCATAATCAGAACAGAATGTGTTCCAAAGTTTGCTGAAGAACCACCCACTGAAATATGAGAATTCTCCCTCTTACAATGCCCCACTTAGACTAGGAGCTCTGAATGGTAAATGCTGAAAGTCTAGAGAAATGTCATTATACATTTAATTTTTTAAATTAAAAATCCAGTAAATTTGGCAGTGAATTCTTTAAATTTACCAAAGAGAATAGTATACTTAACACTATAAGTATAACATGGAAGCATCTCATTTTAGATTTTAAAACTTTGTGTCTCTATAACACTTTTAAATACTTGAAAACTTTGATTCCCTGCAGGTGTAGCTTTCTTCTCCAAGTCTCAATTTGCCTATTTCTACTGCGTTCTTGCTTTTGTATGTTTAGACTATTATTAGAATTGTAAATCTCTCTCAAGACCATCTCTCCAACATTGTCTTCTTTTTATCTTATTTCGTAGCCAAATTTCTTAAGGCACTGGCATATATTAACTATCAGTTTCCTCTCCAAACAGCTTGAATGGGTGGAAAGAGCACCGATCTTGAAATAAGAAACATCAGCTATGTAATTCCCTAGCTTCATCACCCTGAATAACTACGAAACCTCAACTATTTCCTTATGTCTTAAGTGGAAAAAATAATATTCACTCCCAAAGTTTGCTGTAAGAATTTGAGAAAAACTATCCTATATAATAAAAGGCTAATATGCAAATAAGACTGAATGGCAGAACCACCGGAATAACCGAACAGTTGGTTGCTATGATGTGCACTGACCACCAAGGGGCGTGTGTGGAACATGGCAGGCGTTGGCCCCAGCGGGATGGTGGAGCAGGTGAGCAGGGGTGCCAGACCGAGGTGAGGCGCCAGTCACTGTCATTGGGGCGAGCCTCTGGTGGTTACTAAAACTGTTTTGCTCCTGCACACCGTGGTCCTGCCTGGTGCTTGCACCTGTTGCTGGCGCTGGCCCCACTTACACCCACTTCCAGCACTGGAGCTGCTGCTCACACCTGCTGCCGGTGCCTGACACCGATCACGATCACTTGGTGCCATCAGCAGGTGTGAGTGGTGGCTACTGGCTCTGATTGCCCCTGAGAGCTTCTCCACCTCCCCTGCGCCTGCGGGGCGATCAGGGCAGCAGCCACTACTTGCACCCACTGATGGTGCTGGTCCCGCTTGCACCTGCTACTGGCGCTGGCCCCCATTGAGCCACACTGTCAGTGGGTGCAAGCGGGGCCAGCATGGTCAGCACATGGGAGCAGTGGCAGCTGGAGAGGGGTTGCTGGCAGACAGGGGAATGGGGGCCACGGTGGGAGGGGCTGGACAGGGGCACTGAGGATGGGCTGAGATCCGCCCCTGTACCTACTGCAGCCTTGCGGCCCACAGTTCCTTTCAAGGTGCACAAATTTGTGCACTGGGCCCCTAGTCCTATCTAATAATAGACAAACATGGTAATTGACCATACCTTTGCTACGCCTCCCATTGGCTAATCAGCACGATATGCATATTCGCTGCCAACAAAGATGGCGGATAATTTGCATACTGCAGGCAGGGCGGGCCAGCGTGAGCTACCATCTGGCCCCGTGTGCCGCCTAAGTCCTGCCCCCAACTGGGACCCCTGTGTGTGGCCCTGGGTGGCGGGACCCTGCGGCCGTGATTGTGATCGGAAGCCAGGCCGTAGGCAAGGCGGCACCCTGGGACCCAGGAGCTACCTTGCCTGCGGCCCCATGATCCTGATCGTGATTGGAAAGCTGGGCCACAGGCAAGGCGGCTCCCTGGAACACAGGAGCCCATTGGCAAGGTCTGCAGGCGAAGCAGCGATCAAGCTATGAGTGGGAAGGTGGGGGGCGGAAGGAGCTATAGGAGCAGCTCTGGCCGGAGACTGAAGACTCTCGCTGGAGCGAGGAGCAAAGACTGAAGTCTCCAGCTGCAGGGAAGACTGTGTCCAGAGCGAAGATGGAAGGCGGTGGCCAGAGTGAAGGTTTGGGTCCCGGGTGCCAGAGGAAAACTGGTGCTGGCAGCCAGGGGAAAGATGGCCTATTGCACAAATCCATGCAACGGGCCTCTAGTCTATAATAATCCTATATAATAATGCAAATCAACTGGACGGCCGAACAGAACAACCATTTGGACGGCCACACTATGACACACACTGACGCCAGGCCAGCCAAGGCAGTGAGAGGGATGTCCGACTGCTGGTTTAGGCCCAATCCCTGTGGGTCCCAGATTGGAGTGGGTGCAGGCTGGGCTGAGGGACACCTCCCCCCCCGTGCATGAATTTCGTGCACCAGGCCTCTAGTAAAAGCATAATATGCTAATTAGACTGGACATCCTTTTGGACGTCCTTCTTTCTGGACAAAGCCATAGTGGGTAGGGGCTGCAGCAGAAGTGGCAGAGGCCCCTGGCTGCAGTGGTGGTAGGTGGGGGCCAGGTCCAAGGCCCTTGCATGAATTTTGTGCATTGGGCCTCTAGTTATTAAATATTTTTATCTACTTCCTTGTTCACTGATATCTGTACTCTATCTTCTAACACAACTTATTCTCTAAGATCACTATTAACTACCTCCTTGAAACTCATCTAGCTTAACTTTATACTTTTCTGATTTTCTTATTCTTATCAATGATTTCTTTCCTTTATAGTGGGCCCTTTTTTTCTTAGCTGTCTGCTCTTCTTTTGCTATGCTCTTTTCTTAAGAACTGATTCCTTTTATTGCTTTAGTGATCACCACTATGCTTATGATGCTCAAACCCTCCTCCTCAACACTAGTTCTATTTTCCTTTCTCAATTCCCACTTTAATGGATACCTCACTATATGACCTTCTTCATTATACAAATGATTTCTAAGTTCTCAGAAATCACCTTTCAGATCAAAATGTACATCTATTTTGCCCTTTGCTTCTTAAATACCCAGGGTGATCCTTTGTGGAATACTTTAGAAATAAGATTAAAGGGAAAAAAAGATGAAAAAATGACCTGTGTTATGATAAACTTACAGTTCTACCTGTTGGGCCTGTTATACCTTCTCTGCCAAGGGGGCCAGTGTTTCCCTGTAGGAGTAAAAGAAAACAGTCTCATTGCCAATATAATTCAGAAAAATTCTAGAAAATTTCTTGTGCAATGGTAAAATAGTCCATGTCTGCATAACTTTAGTTTTTATTATAAAATCTTATAGTATTATCAGAAAGCACAGTAATTTTGATTTGTGTGTGTGACACAATTCTACATCCTACATAATAAAAACCTAATATGCAAATTGACCGAATGGTGCAACAACCAGTCGCTATGACGTGCACTGATCACCAGAGGGCAGACAGTCGACCGGTCAACCAGTCACTATGACATGCACTGACTGACCACCAGGGGGCAGACAGTCGACCAGTTGCTATGATGTGCACTGACCACCAGGGTGCAGGTGCCCCAACTGATAGATTAGCTTGCTGCTGGGGTCCGGTCAATCGGGACTCTGATAGATTAGCTTGCTGCTGGGGACCAGCCACTTGGGACTGAGTGAGACAGGCCGGACACACCCTAGAGCCCTCCCACGGCCCCTACCTGGCTGGCCAACCTCCTGCATCCCTCCCAGGCCCCTATCATGCACTGGTGGGGTCCAAAGGCCTGGCCTGCACCCTTTCGCAATCTGGGACCCCTTGGGGCATATTGGAGAGCCAGTTTCGGCCTCATCCTACAGGCCAGGCTGAGAAAACCCAATGACGCATGAATTTGTGCACCGGGCCTCTAGTATTATAAAACCCAATGACACATGAATTTGTGCACCGGGCCTCTAGTATTATAATACTTTCCTATCAGGAGAGTTACATTGGTATAATTCCTAACAAACTGATAAATCAGTATAAAAATTTTTATGTATTGGTAACTTCAATAATGCCATTTCATATGTGCGTTATTATATAAAAATGCAATTAGTTTATATAAAAAGACTACATAGAATGATAACAAAATTTTGCATAAATTATAGATGTTGAGGAAACATGTTTGAGTGACATGTAACATGGAATTGAGAGAAAGTATGAGAAAGAATCAGAGAGCATCATATCTGACAAACTAAACTTCAGTTTCTTCATCTATAAAATAAGAATGCTTACTTCATAGGGCCACTGTGAGAATTAAATGTGACAAATAATTTGAAATGGTAAGCTTTTATTTGATTATTATGATAATCTTAAATAAGCTAGATCTTTCTTCTATTTCTCCCAAACTAGGTATAGAACCTATCATTTCTCAATGAATGCAAACTACTGATTTTAGTTATTTTCCCTCACCTCCACTTCAACTTCCACTAGCTGCTAGCTGCAAATTTCATACTCTCTGGCTCACTTATGTATTCCAGGTCAAATTTCACACTTTGACCTGGAATACAAAATGTAGGTATCTAAGAGGATTTCTCTTTTCCCAACAATTGGTAAGGTACAAAAAATACTATCAGTTGAGATAATTATAATGCCATGCAGCCCATTAATAGGTAGCTTTAATATTAAGTTGGCCTAGAATGAGAAATTACCCAAAACTCTAAAAGTAGTCTAATGGAATCTCTTAAACACAACGATTTTGTGTGGTGAACACACAATTCCATGTACAGATGATGTATTATAGAATTGTACACTTAAAACCTACATAATTTTATTAACCAATGTTGCCCCAGTACATTTAATAAATTTTAATAAAAACCAAAATGGTTGCGTTGGCTCAGTGGGTAGAGGGCTGGCCTGTGGACTGAAGGATCCTGGGTTTGATTCCAGTCAAGAGCATATAACTCGTTTGCAGGCTTCATCCCCGGCCTTGGTTGGGGCATGTGCAGGAAGCAACCAATTGATGTCTCCCTCTGTCTCTGCCCCCCCTTCCACTCTCTCTAAAAATCAATGGAAGTACATTTAATAAATTTTAATAAAAACCAAAATGGTTGCGTTGGCTCAGTGGGTAGAGGGCTGGCCTGTGGACAGAAGGATCCTGGGTTTGATTCCAGTCAAGAGCATATAACTCGTTTGCAGGCTTCATCCCCGGCCTTGGTTGGGGCATGTGCAGGAAGCAACCAATTGATGTCTCCCTCTGTCTCTGCCCCCCCTTCCACTCTCTCTAAAAATCAATGGAAAAATATCCTTGAGTGAGAATTAACAAAAAACACACAACCCCCTCAAAAAAGATTGACTTTAAGTAATCATTTGTAAAGATGATACCCAACTCAAAAATCCACAATCAAATCAAGAGAGATGATTTCTTAACCTAATCAAATATATCCTTCAGATTGGCTTACCACTGGGAAAAAAAAGTAAAGAAAGCTTTCATCTAATAAATGTGACTGTGATCTGACTCCCTGAAATAATGATTTGTTAAAAGAATGGAGAGATAGTCCAGCCAGCATGACTCAGTGGTTGAGCATTGACCTATGAATAAGGGGGTTGCGGTTGGATTCCCAGTCGGGGCACATGCCCGGGTGGTGTGCCTGCAGGAGGCAGCTGATCAGTGATTCTCTCTCATCATTGATGTTTCTATCTCTCTCTCCCTCTCCCTTCCTCTCTGAAAAAAATAAAAAAAGAATGGAGAGATATACATGGACTCTATAGAAAGTAGTCCAAAAGAGCCAAAATTGTCTGTTTATCTAAATGTGTCCAAAAGATGAGGTGCTTTGGTTGGTACCAGTTACCTACTAAATACATATTTGAAATGGTGGATAATTAATCCAGATTTCCTACTTTAATTAATTAAATTAAATACTTAATTAGCAAGTATTTATTGGTTATTGAGCAAGAACTATCACGAGGCCACTTAATAGCCATTTTACTTATGCAATTATTAAGAAACCTTCTAACATATCATTTGCTCAATCAGTTGTGGGTTCAAATTCTGGCTCTTCTACATAAGAGTTTTGGAGCCACAGACTTAGTTTCAGAGACTTAGTTTTCCACCTGCAAAATGGGGATAATGGCATCTCTCAAAAGATTTTTATGAGGATTAAATGATATAAGGGACACAACTGTACATCAGTACCTGGTACATAATAGTCTTTGGCTAAATATTAACTTATCAAGATTTTTCACTTAACTCTGTAGTGACTTACCAAATGAATGTCCACACCTACAAATTAGCATCTGTGAGTTAGTTACCAAAACTTTAATATTGATGAACTGATAAAATTTCTGGAGCTGCAAAGCAATATAGGCTCAGATCCTGACCTACAGATACCTAGTACTTGGTAAAACTCTGCTTAGGGCAGATGCTAGGCAAGCAGCCAACTTCTTTTTGATAATACCAAGAAAGAAGTTAATTATTGAGAATGTAATAAAATTAGAATGAATGGGTTTTAATTAGTGGGGAACTTAATACATGTAAGAACTTAGAGCAATATTTGTCATAGAGAAGCCTATCATATATAACCCACTTGTGGATAGTCAAGAATTGCACTTTATATAAAAGCACCAACTTTTCATGGTTCTTCAGAAATCATAAAAATAACTAATAAAGTTGCACCTGAAGAAATGTTGAGAAGGGGTCTTTAAATAAACATTTCCCATGACAACATGGCTCTTTGTATTACTGAAAAGAATTACTGTGAGAGTTAGGGAAGAGGTGCAGAATTTCAAAAACTTGACTTTTCATTTAATATTCTGCACAAGACAGTGGTTTTCAATTGTAAAGTTCTTCCTCAAGATTCCTGTCTCCTGCATCCGAATCACTTTCCTTCTTCCTCTCTCTGCTCACTCTATCCACCCTTGCCCTAGCAGCTGCTGTAAGTCATACAGGTATTCTACTACAGTCAAACCATAGTTTATTTCTTTTCAGTTTTATACATTATCTCATCAATTAGGAGACGATGGTTAATAAAAACAAAACATAAAACCAAAAAAGGTAAAAAACAAAACAAAAACAACTAAACCCAAAGAAACCAATAACCAGTAGCTACTAGTGACTTATCTATCCTGTTTATATTCTCTACGGTTTGCAATTCCAGGCACTACACAGCTAATTGGAGTTTTTCAGAACCTGATCTTTGCAACTCTTTAACTAATTCTTCATCACTCTCTTGGGATGCCCACCCTTGAGGTGGGAAAACATAGCTATTGGGAAATATTTTTCAAAGTGCGGTCTGAGGCGCTCTGGTCATAGGCAAGCCCCTGCAGGTGGTGCATGGAGGTGGTCTCTGGTTGTATTAATACGTATAAATAACACTGCTTTATGTTTTTGTTCCTAGTGTGAATTAATAAATACATTATCCAGTATTCACATTAATTCTTATAATTATTTTTTTAAAGTGAGAACTGGAAAGTGTGGGTGGTCTGAGGGGTCTTTTGCTCAAACTAATATATGAATGAAAAAGGCTGAGGCCCTCTGCATGTGCCCTAGTGAGTTTCTATATTAAAAATCATTTTATTAAGTCATTAATTTGGAGTATATTAATTTTAGAGTTCTTAATCCCAATTCCTATAATCAGCAAAGAATCACAATTTCTGGGCAGAATGACTGTACTCACTCTCTGTCCAATAGGACCTTTAGGACCTGATATTCCAACAACACCAACATCTCCCTCAGGACCCTAGAAATACAATAAAAAACAAAAAGTCATTCTTTAGCTCTGTAGAAACATTTTACACATGAAATCATGTCATATCAACATACTCAGAATTGCCTTTAAAAAAATGGAATGTGATAGTTAATGATGTCTATGCTGAAGTATTTTGGAGGAATTATACTCAGGTCTGAACTTTACTTTAAAATTAACAAAACATGGATTGAGAGAGGGAGAGAGGGATGGACAGATAGATAGGTACATGATAAAGCAAGTAGAGTAAAATGTTAATGGAAAAATGAAGAAGGGACAAAAGCAAGTTATTCAATAAAACTGCTGGGAAAATATATAGTTGCATATGCCTTATAATTAACATATTTATAACTCAAATGTATAACTGCACTAACTGAAATTTGGCAGATTAAAAAAATAAAAGCTCAAATCAGAGACTAAATATTAGTATTCAACACCTTTTTTTTCTAGATAGCTAGAAGACTAGCAGAAAGTTATGCAAACATACTTTGGGGCCTGGGAATCCTTGGAAACCTGTCAAACCTTGAACACCGTGTTCTCCCTGCAATATAAATAGATATGATAATGCTTATTGTGCAATCATGTTCTAGTCTGTAGAACAAGTGCATAGTAAGTATCTGAGTTGGCACATACAGGCTGCCCTTTCAGGCCAGGCTCTCCACATGGTCCTTGATCACCTTGGGCTCCTCGGTGACCCCTTTTACCTTGAATTCCAGGTTGACCAGGTAGCCCTTGTTCACCCTATGGACAGGAACAGAAAAGTGATCTTGACTTTAAAACCTAAAAAAAATATTAGATTTTAAATGAAACTCAAATATAGGCCTATCCATAGGCATAGAACAAGGCACTGGGGAAATAAAATTCTGCACGAACATCCTCCCCACCATATTTGATTATTATATATAAGAAGTGTAGCAGTGGGGAAGGAGAATTCTAGAGACTGTAGTCTTAAGTGTGGAAAGAGGAGGCAAGGGGATTCCTACAAAACAAGGAGGATAGTGGGGCTAGAGAGAGAATGCTGAGGGCGTGGTGTATGTGTGTGTGGGTGTGTACATGTGATCAAACTTGCATTTTATTTGAATTGTTATTATTTTTCTGTGTTTTCTTTACCATACATAGATTTCAGCTATCTAGTACCAGAAATGGAGAAGTCTCCTGAAGTGTGAACACTGGTTTTTGCCACAATAACTGTTTAAATTCCATCATTAAGAAATGTCCACTATCTGTTTCCTAAGGTTTCTTTGATCTCAATTCTCCTTATTCCCTCAAAGTTCACTTTAAAGACATTTTTTAAACAAAGACATATTTAATCACAATTATTTTAATTTTAAATCAGCTCTTTTTAAAATGTATTTTTATTTTGTTTTTGAAATGAGAGTGGTGATAGCTTTCATACCATTTCTAAAAATAAATTTAGGAATCACATGGAGATTAGAGACAGGTTAATGAAAACATGATGCTTGGTAGACTTTGACCAAAGATTCTTTAAGATTAACAAATTATCATTCAGTTTCTTGAGTCAAAGATATAGGGCAGGGACTTGACAAATATGGGTTCAATTTACTGCAGAAATACACATAAGAGATAGGGGGGTCTTTCTTATTTTCCTACTTTTAGCATTTGCTCAGCTACATTGAGTTATAGTGGAAAGGGCAAATCATTAACACAAGGGTCAAGTTGTAAACAGTACGCATCTGGCTCATCATTTTCAGTTTACTGGTATAGGTCAGAATATCCAAAAAGTCTTTAGAAGTGGAATTGTGAATATGGAATTAAGAGGTAATAATGATGAGGATGCCAATGTCTTAATCCTAGACTTTTATAAAATAAACTAGATTCAATTCCCAGTCTTGGCTGTCTGGTCCATTCTGCATTGAGATATTTCCTAAGGGAAGTTGTTTGGAAAACCTACTGACATGTGACAATACTCTATGCAGTGAATATTAATACAAGACTTACTGACAGTCACTCTGACTCTAAGAAATAATCTATAGTCTATATTCACTAATTGGTTGGTTAGGTCCAGACTTAGAGAAACAGACTTAGAGAAAGTATGTATCTGGAAGTAAATAAGATTTTGATGTTTTAGAGAAGAAGGTGGATGACAGGAAGGGAAAACAAACAAACAAAACAACCAAAATGAGTCAAAGAACATTTTAAAAAGCATTTCCAGTCCTGGATGAATGAGTTGTTTTGGCAAATTGCATGCACTGTAGCTATCATGGGAGGTGGGCATGTCAAGGCCACACACGTTGCTTTCTTCCTAACATGTTTTTATTATTAGCCAAATTTTATTAAAAGCTATTAATCTTACCATCCTAGAATGTAGCCAATGAACTCAGGGCCAGCAAGGATGGTCAATATTATTCATCCATCAGAGCAAGACATTAAAGTACCTTTGGGCCTAGGATTCCTGGGCTTCCCGGCAGGCCTGGTGAACCCTTTGCTCCACGAGGACCTGGAGACCCAGCCAGTCCCGTTCTTCCTGGGCTGCCTCTGATGCCCTAAATAGCACAGATAAGAAATGAAAACTGGGGCAGTTCCTATAAAACCCGCCCAGAGGCTTCATAAATGTAGGAGGGGTTGGTCTTGTGAAATGCCGCTGTTAACACACTACCCATGTCTGGGAGTCATCCAGGGCTTCTTTCCCAAATAAGTAAAATGTTTAAAAAATGTTTTGGCCCACCAAAGAGTCTCTAATTAATGTAATGGTCTTGGGTTTTTGAAATGAAAACATGGAGGCAGTACAAATTCCACCAGTACCTTCTGACTTAAGTAGCCTAAGTGAAGTATGTCTGTTGTATTCTAACTTTTTGTATTATACTCTGGTGTACATGATAAATCTAATAACTGGTTAATATCTCCTTAACAAGAATGTTCTGCCCTGGCTCAGTTGGTTGAGCAAACCAAGCAGCAAAAGGTCTCTGGTTTGATTCCCAGTCAGGGCACATGCCCGGGTTCCCAGTTTGATCCCCGGTTGGGGTGAGTGTGGGAGGCAACACCTCGATGTGTTTCTCTCACATTGATGTTTCTCTTTCTCTCTGTCTCTCTTTCTATCCCACCCCTCTCCCTCCCTTCCACTGTCTCTAAAAATCAATGGGGACTTGTATGCCTGCATAGTAGCATAACCAATGGACTCAGACACTAGGGCATTGGGGACTTGTCCTGGGGGGTAGGAGTGGCTGGGGAAGGGCCAATGGGAGTGGGGTGGGGAATGAGATATATGTAATACTTTAAACAATAAAAAAAAAATCAATCAAAAATCAATGCGGGGAAAAAACCTCCAGTGAGGATTAACAACAACAACAAAATATAATATATATATCCGCATTAGTAGGCCAAACATTTGGCACAACATTTCTACCTCACAGGAATGTGACAGAAAAGTTAGGAAATTTAAAATGAAGTATCTTACACAACAGAATTTCTCCACACAAAAAATGAAAATAAAGTTGCAACTAAAATAAGTTTTGGATGGTTTGTTTGTTAGCCCTATAAGGAAAGTTGCTTCTTGGTTTAATTAGATTGTGCAGCAAAAATAAACTTGCTTAAGATTGCTAACCTTTTGGTAGAATCTGTTGCTTAAAGTGTTGAGGACATTAGAGCGGCATCAATAGTCAAGTAAAAAACAAAGAAAAAGCTTTTGAGTGGTTTTCTTGCCTCTTGATGAATCCATAGATGTTAGTATAATAGTCCTGCCTTATCCAAAGGGGACATTCCAAAACCCTGAGTGGATGCCTGAAACATGGATAGTACTGAACCTTCTATATGTATACTATGTTTTTTCCTCTATATACATGCCTATAATGAAGTTTAATGTATAAATGAGGCACATTAAGAGACTAACAATAACTACTAATAAAATTATAACAATGTGCTGTAATAAAAGTTACATGAATGTGGTATTTCTCAGTATATCCTAGTGTTTGTACTGTACTCACTTTTTCTCTTACAGGAAGCACTTTATGACATCCCTTTAGCACATGTGAATTGCCAGCATCATTATTCTTGTGTTTTTGAGCCATCAGTAAGTACAATAAGCATTATTTGCTCATAAGCATTGCCATACCTAACAGGAGATCTGTGGGCTATCTTATAAGGTCTTGATATCCTATCCCTGGATGTACTGTAGAAGTAATTGATGCCATGGACAGAGGACAAGCATCACATGACAGATTATGCTAGATGAATTTAGGATACTTCAATGTCCAGAATTCTAAATAGTCCTACTTCACTTCACTTTAATTTTACTTTCATGTGATACAGAGACAATGGACATTCAGGTACTGCTGAATATTCCTGAGGCCAATAGGTATTTTTAGCTGAGAAAAAGGACTTTAGGACTAACTGTATACTAGAAACTTTATTGTAGTTTCAGTGCTATCAGACATTTAATACAACATGATGAGTATGCTCCAAGGTTTTTACTGTTCATGTTGGTTTCTTAGAGAGAAATTTGAGGACAGTAGCAGAGTGTTCTGTACAAATTTCCAAACAATGTTTCCTACAAGTAGAGAACAAACATTTTTTATTATGGATACACAGATGGATGAGTAATTTTGCTTTCAAGAGAAACAGATGTTAATCCCTAGGCATTCTTTCCAATGTCTTAAAATGACTTGACTAAAACCCATCAACAAAGGGTATGTCATTCTGAGGAAATTTTAAAAAGTATATAAAATCACAATTATTAATTTTTTCAGAGATGCTGAAACCAATCAACAATTTTTCTAAGTCTTAAAAAACTTAATAGAATGATAAGAATATATGATGTCTCATGGCCAGAGATTTTCATTATCCTCAGATATGAGCCTTTTATATATATAGAAGATAATTGACATATAGTATTGTGTCAATTTAGATGTATAATGTGTTGGTTTGGTACATTTATATTTTACAATATGATTAATTCAGTACTCTAGCTAATATCTTTATCATGTTACATATTCATTATTTCTTTTTTGTTTTTAGAACACTTATGATTTGATCCTTGAGCATGTTTGAAGTTTATAATACAGTATTGTTGACTATAATTACTGGGTTGTACATTAACTCTCCGGAACTTATTTATCTGCAAGATGTAAATGTGTATCCTTAAATTCGTTTTGAACTCTGAAGAAAAGTGTCCATTTTTGATAAGATTGAAACTGATGGATGTTTAAGGCTTGGATTCCAAGGAAAAACACATTTGGATCAGTACTGACATCAACAACAACGTCAATGATGACAACAACACTATCAACCACAAGAGCTACTTTTTATTGAGTGTCTTCCATATGTCTGAAACTGTAATGGCAATGTGGTTGAATTGTTTTATTTACTCTGATATCAGTTAAGGAAGAAGATATAGTTGCCTTCTACTTTGACTTCCCTGTAGGGAAGGAAAGGAATACTTTAAGTATAAATCTGCCTTCATTCTGGGAAGATCTGGGAAGGAAAATAGGGCTATGTGCACAAATTTACAGACAGATTTTGGAACAATGATGATTGGTTTGTGCATAATTGTGAAACATAGCAAAGAGAATGTCTGTTATTCTCCAGGCCCCTTGGTTTAGCAGCCTTCATCTCATTAGGACTGAAACAAATATATTAAGAAATAAGTAAGAAAAAAATGGTTTATTATAGGCAACAATAGAAATCTACACTTGAGAGGATTAGCAAAGGAAGACTATCTTAAAAATTGTGTTGAGTGAGATGATAAACATTTCATGTTAATTTGATTGATTTTTCAGCAAATTAACATCAAAAAATCAATTTATCATTGATTTTTTAATGATAAATTTAAAATGACATTGAATTTCAAATTAGGTAATATTTTTCTTTAAAATACTACCCTTGAAATTACTAGGATAGTGGTTTTTTTCCTTTCCCT